TGGGGAGCTCTATGCAAAGAAAGCAGCCACTGTTCCCTCCTCTGGGGAGGGGGCAGCTGGCATGGGGCTGCATCGCGGGTCACTGGCATCGCCAGCAGAAGCGGGCACCCAGGTGTCCTGGGGTGCTGCTCGTCCCCTCTGAGGGTGGCTGTCCCTCATGACCAGGCAGCTCTGCTTGCCGGCTCTGAAGCCTTTAGAGGTGCCTCTTACAAGGAACCGGTCCTCAGGTCCTCATACTCAAATCCTCGATGCCAGCCAGAAGCAAGGTACCTCACTACAGGCTCCACACAGCCATCTTTCCCACCCCAACCCCTGCCAGGCTCATGCAGGCAGCGGAGGGACCAGTTCACCGCTTTCCTCCCCCCTTGGAACCCCTTTTGCTATTTCCAAGCCCAGCTCCTTGTCCAAGGGCTTCGTGTGCCCTGAATGAGAACTTGCACGAGCAGCCGCAGCCAGCCGGTGTCTGGGGAGAGCCAGATGGAAAAGCCGGGACCTCAACTCACCATGGAGGTGTCAATCTGAGCCAGAAGCCTGGGGTTGTTCTGCTCGACAGCCTCCAGGCACTGCAGCATGGCCGTGACGTGGGCGTCACTGAGCAGGAAGGCAGTGTCTGGGGAGAGAAAACTGCTGCTCGGGGGGGTCCCTCTCACCCGTGTGGTTTGGCAGCACCGGTTGCTCACATGCAAACCACCTTTTCTGCCGCCCCCCCTCGCTCCCACGTGGCTTGGAAATGCCATCAACTAAATATTTTCCTACTAAGAAGGAAAAGGCCCATTTCTCTTTACCTGCGTAGAATTTCCTGATGTACTGCCGGTTCCCCAGGAGCGGTCTCAGCTGCGCCGACAGGCAGTGGCACTGCAGGCTGTGCTGCAGCCACAGCTGCGCGATGGCCTGGTCCCCAAGGCCCTCTGAGTCGAGGTGGCCACTCTCCTGCAGGCTGATGAACTGGAAAGGGACACCAGGCACAGGTTAAGGCATGCAGAGGCAAGTGGGGGGAGCAGGGGCTGTTCCACTGCACGGCTTTGGTTCCCCCCTGATAACGGCAGCTTTGCAATGCCGGTCACTGTCAGTGGGAAGGAGGACAAGTCCCAGCAGCTCCGCAGCCACCAGGGAGGCAAAAGCACTAGGGATGAACAGCGTTTCAAAGGTCAGCCAGCGACCAAAGTCCTCTGACAGCCACCAGCACTGTGAATTTCTCCTGCACGCTCTCCCACCCGTGTGCCTCGCCCCTGACCTGGAAGGACCCCACACTCCCAAATCCAACCCGACCCTGGTGGTGATGGTCATGTTCTTGCTGACACTTTAAGTGGGGAAGCTAAACACCTGAGCTGCTGTGGCTTGAAGAGCTGGACCGGAGTCACACCCCACGTCCCCCCAGCAGCAGGCTGGACATAGGGACCAGCGGTGGCCAGCCCCTTGTGCCCAGCTGCCGTGGGGGCCACGGACATCAGCACGGGGCAGCCAAGGGCTGAGAGCATCCCCATGTGCCAGTGGTCGGCACAAGCCAGGAACGGGAGAATGAAATGCACGCTTAAGGCACAACCCAGAAATGGGACAGCCCAGACTTTGAGAGATTTGCACAGAGGCATGAATCACCCCTGTGCACACACAAGTGCCGCTTGTGCCCGTTCCCTTGGTGATGCCCGCTGCAGCCGGCCTGGCTGAGCTGGAGACTGGCCTGGGAGAAATAAGCAGCCGATTGTCTCAGCCCAAGCCACTCGGAGTTCCTGGGACGTGGCTTGTACGCAAACACGTGGCTGCTTCAGCCTCCATAAGCCATGGAGCCGCTTTACCCATGGCAGGCCAAGAGCCAAGGCTCTGCTGTCCCACTGGTGAGGCTCGCAGCCCAGCTGCCCTCTCCCCTCCCCGCTGGCACACAAGGCCACCCCACCAGAACCCACCTTCTCCAGGTGATGAGCAGAGCCAGGACTCAGCCAGCGAATGTCCTTCACAAACTGCCAGTAATCCTTCTGTCTGCAGCACACCTGCCCGGGACAGGCGCGGTTAGATACCACCACCCAAGTCCCAGTTAAATGACAACAGCCCCCATTAGTCCCCATGCTACCATGAGTGAAGAGCCCCTAACCCTGGCAAGATGAGCCAGAAAACAGACAGAGGAAGAGCAGCATTGCTTTGCAAGGGAGAAACAACGCAAGCGTATAACACAGTTTTGTAGATCAAGGGATCAAGTCAACAAACACTGGCTTGATGTAGATAAGTTGTCTCCTGCCCCTCCCACAGTGACCTCTCAGTTGTGGTCAGCCCACAAGTGACCAGACAACAGATCCCTCAAGCTTCTCTTCTTCCACCAGGTAAGGTCCCCGTCCCTCATACCGTGGAGACAAGAGAGGTCTTGGGACAGGGACAGGACGTGGCACCGAAAGGCTCACATCCGTGCTGCAGTGCAATAAGGATCCTAAAGGCCAGCCGCAGGTCTGCCAAGTTCAAGGCTGACCAAGTTCCCACTTCACTGTTCCCCCTCCTGCCGGAGTGGGACTTGGAGGAGAATCCTGATGCCTCAGCACTGCAGAGCCAGACCTCAATGAGGGGACACGAAGGGCAACATGGAAACGCATCCCAGCAAAACCAGCAACATTGCTGTCTTCTGATGCAAGCCACCACCGAGGACCCCAGCACGGCTGAGCACCCCAGGTAAGAAATTTGGCCTTGCATTTCTACCAGCTCTTTGCTGCTGTTTGCCTCAGCTTTATTCAGACAACGAATTATTTTGTTTGTGTTATTCTTCCCATTAAAGAGGAACTGCAGCAGAGTTGCTGTTTTCCTCACCACCCTATCGGCTGTAAACACAGCCCCAAAATGTCTCTCTTCACTTAAAGGCTGATTATTTTTTCTTCCATCTCTATTTCCTCTTTCACAAGTGTCAGAAGAATGGGTTCTGTTTGTGGTTTATTTGTTTGGGGGGGGTTGGTTTGGTTTTTTAAGACTAGAGAACTAACATGGCAATTTTAGTCCTCTAGACTGAATTGGGGTTTTCTGGACAAATAAATAAAATTCACTCAAAAGTTTAAAAACCTCTTACCCTAGTTCTCTTCACGTGTACATATGGATTTTTTCACCTTTTTTTTATTTATTCCCAGTTGTAGGAAAAAAGTTGGTAAGAAAATAATAAGTAAAAGTGTTTCGCTGGAGGAGCTATGAGAAAACTGCTGTTACGAAGCTGTATTTTTACAGGCCTCCCTTTGCAGCTCTTATAGCTTGATTGGTGTCACACGCGCCCAAGCAGGGGAGACATTTCTAAGTAAGAGAGCTGCCTTTGCCTATAGTAAAAGCATCGAGGAAGGTAACACACCGTCCCGCTTTGCTGGTCTGGCATGAACTGTTACCAATAGACAGATGAATATAAATAATTTAAATCTCACTTCCTGAAGCACACCTATCAGAAGGGAGCCCTGCACTCCTCACACGTAAAAGGTAGCTTCTAGAAAGTGACTACTACAACAGCTTCTCTCTCTGTGGATCTCCCAAACATCCCCGGCCCACGCCACTGGGGACCAACAGGAACAGAGCAGGACCACAATGAGTGCTGACTGCAGCTAACACATCCAGGGATCAAAGCACCCTGCTGGGATGAGCTGCCAGCCTGGCTCTTCCTGGAGGCTTATTATTAGCTCGGGTGCAGCATTGCATAGGTGCAGTTTTCCTGCTCCTGAACCCAGCTGGCCTGTGCAAACTGCCTCGGGCTCCTCTGCATCGCCCGCTTCTCTGCATCACTCTCTGGGTGGCAGAGCCGCTGATGGGAAGCCTGCCCCCAGGCAGGCCCTGTGGACTTGCTTCAACTTTCCATTGTAAATTAATTGTGGTGGTAATTGCAAGCTGAAGGAGAGATCTTCAGGCCTCTGCACAGAAGTGGGAAGGAGAAATTCTTCCAGGCAGCCATGGAAGGAGGAACGTCTGGGTGAGCAACTGCAAGGCATGACGAGAGCCTGGAAAGAGAGATGCCATTCACGCAGAGCGCGGATTTGGCTGCCAGCTCCTGTTATTAACACAGCTAACCAGAAACAGTAAAGATGCGAGGTTTCTCTTGCCAGACCTCACTGGGGAGTTGTCCAAGTGCAGGCACTACGGGGCTGACTCATTGCAAATGCAGCTTTATTGCTTGGCTGCAGCAGAAAGAAAGGAAAGAGGGGCTGGCCTCAGCACGAGGGGCACAGGTACTTAGAAAAAACACGTTGAAGGTGGATGAGATAGAAAGAACAGGCACCCAGGTCCCTCTGACAACCACAGCACTTGCCAGGCAAGCTCAATCCCTGCTTCCATCATTTCCCATGCTGCAACAAGTGTTGTACCCACTCGGTGCTACGAGTACTGAAGCAAGCTGCAGGCAGACAGGACCGTCCCACCTGCTCATGACAGGCACCGAAGCTGCTACAGATAGAGCAGTGCTGGCAGGACAGAGCCCTACCTTGTCGTGGATGAGCCCGTGGTAGAGGATGCTGTGCATGTCTCTGCAGAGCCGTTCCAAGCCGCCATACTTGGACCAGACGTTTGGGTTGCTGGTGGACACCAAGCCTTCCACTGTGGTCTTCAGGTTGCCTAGCAGCTTCCAATGCTCCTTCCTGCAAAGGAACACAGCAAGTTGCACCAGGTACACAGCAAGAGGAGCTTCACAACAGGACCATGGTATTGCACTCTCTCCAAGGAGACTCTGGTCAGGCTGAAACCTTTGGTGGTCCAGAAGCGACCAAAGGTGAGCTAAAGGACTTTACATCTCCCTGTGGTCTCCCGTGCATGGTTTGTGGACAAGAGGCCCTATCGTAATGATGCTCGTGATGACTGGTAGCTACCAGCAGTGTGGTCTCAGGAGACAGCCAGAACAAAGAGTGATGGCTCCTGCAATATACCACTTGCTTAGTATGGGCCAAGAAAGCTGGAGGACATCTTTCCAGCCAGCCTCTTGCTTGCTTCACTCACACTCTCTATCAGAGACTGTTCAGAGCAGCAGCACGTCAGGAGTACAGGATCCATAAGGCAACGGCACGATGTCCACCACATCTAGCAGACACTGGCCATGCCGCACCTGCATTTACAGAGAGCTGCACTCCCCGAGCAACGCGCACCACATCAAGCACTCCAGCACCATCAGGATGCAGAAGGGCTCCACTCTGAGTTCGGTAACTCTTCATCTGCATCTCCACCTGTACAGCTGCTCTCTGGCCCCAGAGCTGCTGTAGGCACAAGCTGACTTTCTTGCAAAAGTGTTCATCATGTTCTGGACAGAGATTAGCAAACTGCAAACTGCAGTTGTACTCTAGAGCTTGCACAGCATTTACCATCGAGATCAACCCCCTCGGCTGCCCCGTGTACAGCAAGGAATCACCATTATCCACCATAAAGCAGGAGTGATGGTGCAGAGAGGTAACGTCATTTGCCTATGCAAAAGCAGCTTTGGGGAAGGAAGCTTTGGATGACTGAGATCCCCCCTCAAGCTGTTTGACAGCGTTGCCAGAGGAACAGCAGCCGTCAGAAACACGTACTCAGATAGGAGCCACTCTCTCAGAAGCAACAGGAATGTTGCAAGGTATATTTGGGGGTGTGAATGCCAAAAAAACGTGCCTCTGCAGGGTTTGTAACAGAAGCACTGGGGGTGACAGCTTAGCATGAAGGTCCAGCCTTTCAACTGGCAAGAAACAAGCCAGTGTTTCAGCTGTTAATCGCTCTTACTGCCCAAAACAAACTGGATTTCCAAAGCAAAAGAAAAAAAAGGAAAATAAATGTAAAATGAACAATATTATTTAAAACGGCTCTCATTCTCATGCTTGTGGATGAAAAGTGTGGGCTGCACACCTCTTGCTGTACAAAAGACACTAAAAAGTAACATAATCCTAATATTTAAAACCAAGCTTTTCTCAACAATATTCTCTTTTTGCGACTCATTTGTTATTGCAAAACTGATTAAGTGAACAAGCAGATCATCAAATATTGGCTCCACTTCAAGCTCCCCATCCACTCCCTTTGCAAGGTCTCCCCAGTGAAACCTCACCGCTTTCAGTGCTCACCTAAGCTTAAACCATGCAGAAGCCAACCCATTCCACCAGCAAAGCCTGTCACCCTGACAGCACAGGAGCTCTAAAACAGAGCTGCAATGCATAAAGAAGTATGTATATGTTTATGTTTATGTATATGTTTATGATGTACTTAGACTAACAAGCACGGTCAGGGCTTGTCTCAGGAGAGACTGAGGAAGAAAGCATGGATACAAATCAAAAGCAGCTTCCTGAAGGAGATCCAACTCAAGGAGACACAGAAAACCAATCCAGCCATTCTCCTGAATTTATGGGCTTTTCTCATCCCTGCCCTGAGGGATGTAGATGTTCTTTGACCGGGGATCGGCGATGATGTTCTGGGCATCTGTGGATATCCAGCGCGGCATCACCGGTCTCCGGTCAAAGAGCATCTGCAGCCACTGAGCTCAAAAGTTCACCAGCTCCTCCCCCAGATATTTCTAATGCTCAGAGTTAGGAAACACAAGTGAAAGCTCAGCCACGCTGCTGATCTTCCAAGTCGGTGGAAGGAAACTCCCTGTTATTTCATGCTATAAAAAGCAGGCGACGCACACAGGGAAGCGGGGGTAGGACACGCAGAGCCGTGCCTTACCAATGACCTGTCCCGTTGAAGGAGGAGTTGTGCATCTCCCCAGAGGTAGGAAACCAGGATCCAACAGACTGGAGTCGCAGCTCCCTCCTAGCACAGGCAGACTAAGGTTAAGCAATCCTCGAACGAAATAACCTTAAAATGTTAAAACATTGAACTCAAGCACATAGGGAACAAGCAGCGCAAAGAAAGCACCTTTGCAGAGGTGATTCAGAAGCTACCAAAAGTGACTTAAATCCCTCTAAGACACTAAGTATCCCGTGGGACTTGTTGGCCCAAAGCCGTTCACAAGTTGGATGCACAAGACCCTACCGATACCCAAAACCCAGCTGTTTCTGGGCTGGGACATGGTGCATGCTGAAAAGCATACAGTGACACAAGGCTGAAGAAACAAAGACCCATATAGTTGGCTGCAGGTGGCAGGGACATCGAGACACAGTGCAGCTAACCACATTTCAGCTTGAACTGGACTCGTGGGTTAACCCTGAATTAGCAGCAGGGTTTGTTCCCCTCCCATTGACAGGGCCTGAGCCGGGGCTGCCAGCAGAGATGGCAACAGCCTGGGTCCCAGCTGCCCTTAAGTTCCCCGTTTCAGCAGGTGTTCAGAGCAATACTGAGAAAACTGCTTGGTTTTTCTTGAATAAAGAGAATTTTCCTTTGCTAGTGCTAAAGAAAGGCTGACATGGGGTAAGATCAACTCATATCACATTGTGAAACCCCCCCAGCTTACAGGAAGGGCAAAGCGAGCAACGCACCCCAGAGAGGTCACAGTACACGGGCAGAGCTTCCCCTGCAAGAACCACGCATGCTTCTGCTCTCCTGCTCCAGCAGAACCTGGTCCCCCAGCCTGAAGAGCCGAGGGTGGTTGCAGGGGCCCTCGCCGCTGGAGCACCAGTGAGACCTCAGCCGCATCCCTTTCCTTCCTTAAAGATGACCTCTGATCCAGCCTCCAATTTTAGCCAGTAGCTCCATAAACTTGGCACTGGGTTTCCTTGCTTTACCACCACAAACTCTGTCTTCAGGTACAGCAACACCAACCCGCTGTCGGGAGCTGTTCCAAATAAAACTGAACCTTTTGCACTGGAGTGATAAGAGACAGAATCCCGCCTTGGAGGAAGAAATGGCTGAATGCCGCTGCTGCTGACAAGGTCAGGGAAATGCTGTGTGCTCGCCCAAGGCTTTCTCAGCCCCTCCATGGCAGCAAGGGTAGGAACTTCTCTTGGTCCAAGTCAGCAAAGGTGACTCACAGCAGAGGCAGGGAGCCATGCTGCTGACTCAGGTGAACTTCTTCATTTAAAATAAAACCAATCCCTAGGTACTTTCCAAAACAGAATCACACAGCTAGTATCAAAAAAAAATAAAAATAAAGCTTGTCTTTCTTGCAAACAACATCTGCCTGTGCTCTGCGAGAGGCATCTAGCAATGGCCGCTTGAACTGTCCTCTACCTGGAGGAGTCTCTTGATCCTTCTTAGCACACTAAAGAGGTCGGGCTGAGGATGCCGGGGTCAGGGAGGGACACCCTCCAGTTCTCCAAGGACATTCCTGTGCCGGCTGCCGGTTCCTCCTGCAGATCCCGAAGGCGCTGTGTAACCAGCCGCTGCGCACAGCCTGCTCCTGCCTCGTAGTCCCCGGGTCTCCCAGACAACCAGCAGCCCCTTTCCTCTGGCTCCCCCGCCTGCTCCTCCGGCAGGCTCGGCACTGCTGGGAAATGGGATTAAAAAAAAGGCAGGCTTCGTGCAATTTATCTGCAGCCGCGGGGAGTGGCTGACGAGGCGGAGGAAGCCAGAAGAGCTCTGCCAGCCCGGTGGGTCAGCCCTGCAGTGTCCAGGCGGGGGGAGCCAAGCAGGCTGGCTGGGAAACCGAAACGCAGGGCTGCTTCCACCAGTATAAAACTGCGGGCACAACCACAAAAGGTTCCCACAGCAAACGCAGCCCAGACCTCCTGCTTGCTAGAGCACTCTTGCTCTGCACTGGCAAAGGACGAGGGAAGAAAATAGGGATTAAAGGTGGTTTTTAGCCTTCTCCCAGCATGGCAAATAGTTTTGCCTGCTCATCCTGATGAAGCTTCCCACAAGCAGATGACCACAACCTGCGGACCAGGGATAGTATCCACTGGGTTTCAATCTGCACAGGACCTGCTGCAACAAGCAGTAGGCAGCCGGAGGCAGCGACACGCAGAGCAGGCCCCCACCGCACCCATCTCCCCAGGACCAGCTGCTCACCTTCCTCCATCGCTCCTAGCACCAGTTCCTCTTAGGGACCCTCTCCTCTGGCCCTGCTGTCCCCGGGCCTTGCCAGCGCTGGAGCCATGGCAGCAACTCTTTGCTAACCCGCCCGGCTGACCAGCAGCCCCTCTGCTCCCCCCGGGGGCTGCTGCACCCCTCACATCACCCGCCCACCGCTCCAAGGCACCCAGAGCCCTGCTCTCTGCCCGGCAGAATGAAGGCTCTGACCTTCCTGGCATGCCTCGATGGACATCGGCGTTGCAGCCCCTGCTCCCCGATGCATTTCAGACCTGCTGCTCAGGAGGAGAGCGAGCAAAACCCAGCACAAGATCCTCATTTTCCTCTCCTGCCCCAGCAGAAGAACAGACTTCAGCAAAATAACTTTTGCTTCTGCATTTCCCATGATCCATGGGAAGATGGATCCAGTGACCTCTATCCTATCACTATCAGTCACGGCCACAGTCTGTAGTGAAATGGCACCTCCCCGGGAATTAAAATGCTAAACCATTTGCACAAAGGACAACGAGGCTGTGCAAGGCCCGTGCCAGGATCCTCCACAGTGCACCAGTGACAGCCAGGAGAACAAGCAGCCCCCCCATGTGCCAGCACCAGAGGGGACAATGGTCTCCTCGTCCCCGGGGGAGCGCTGGGGGTGGCACCACATCAGCCCTATCAGTGACACGACGGTAGAGTCTGGTAGTGCAGGACTCGCACTTGCAAAGGCAAGAAAATGCACAAAGATGATTCTGGAAAGAAAAAGAAGTAAATACAGTCAATTCCTTTTACCTTTCTGAACCTGCTGGGTCTGAAGCATTAGCTAAAGAGGGAGAATAGCTTGAACCGTGCAAATTAAAAGGCACCCCAAACCTGCGCTATAGCTTTAAAAGCACCGGTAGCATTTTCCCGGCTGACATGGCTAGCAGGAATAGAGCAGCTAGCTGAGCCCCTCAGATAAGGAATGCTTCTCTCCCATATCAAGTTTCAGCTGCTCCCTCCTCCCCAGCCAACACTCCCATTTCCATCCAACGTCCACCCTGCGCTTGTGAGCACCAGGACAAAACCAAAGCACAAAGCAAAGGCTGAAGATGTGCAAAAACCTGAAGTAAATAGGGCTCGTCATCAAAACACCTCCGGGGAACAACCTCTGCTGCTTTTATAAATGCTAACCAGAAAAACCATGCCTAAAGCATAAACGAAGACCACGCGGGCGAAGTCACCACAGCACGGCCATTCTCACCGCCCGACGCAGGCGCGGGGCCTCGCCTTCAGAAATAAAGAGCAGCTGACGATTTTTTTTTTTTCAGCTCCTCGAAAACGGGCGACGCAGCCGACTGCCAGGAGGGTACGGAGACGCGATGCACGAGGAGCCAGCTGCGGAGCCACCGTGACGGCGTCGGGGCGGGATGGTTTCGCCCTTGAGCAGAAGGCGTGCGAAGCAGAGGCTGGGCAGCTGCTGCCTTGGCCGCGGAAGATGGAGAGTTGCTGTCACCACCGTAGCGGGGACAGAGCACCGGGGACCGCGGGCAGGCGTACGCAGC